CCAGATCAGAATAGAAAGGGTGAGTGAGCACTGAACCCCTGTAATTCAGTATCCTCCAGCAGGACAAGCCGTGGGGTACAGGGTAACCCACGTGTCAGTATTTGTGTGGACACAAATCACATAATTTACAGAATGAATTTGTGCTTCTGGTTGCTTTCAGCTCAGGAAAGGACTGGATGCACAAGCTGCCTTGGTGTCTCTCTTCTGGGCCATGTAATTAAAAAATACCTGTGAGGAGCTCCTGCTGGTAAGGGAAGGAAATACCACAGCAGAGAAGCAATTGGTTGGTATCTTTGAGGTTGCTCTCCTAAATGACTGTGGTGTGCAGAAGCAGACTATAATTGAGCTGCTAAAATATTTTTTAATATAATTAACAGGCCAAGAGATTTCAGCAAAGAGACTACTGCTATGCTGTTGTTTGGCTTTCAGAACAACACAGGTGGTAGAAGCTCATCTTGTAAATCCTTTGTGGAGCCAAGCTACAGCTACCACAGCAACAAACTTAAAGGAGAAGATAAATAGCTAATTAAAAGACACTTGCATCTGGATTGCCGTAAAAAAGACACTGAGAGACTGGACAGAATCCAGCATAATCCTCTCCCTCTGAGCTCCAGTCCTCCCGCTATCCTCTAGCTCCTATCAGAAAGTGGGTTTTTTCCCCTCCGTGCCTGATTCCTACTGCCAGTACTTTTATTTTTCTCACCAACCACTCTTGTTTTCTTCACCTAACCACAAAGATGGTGAGGAGCGTGGAGCACAGTAAAGACTAAGGGAGCTGGCTTTGTTCAGCCTGGAGATGCTTAAGGAGAGATTTAAGAGCTGTCCAAGACTACCTAGAGGGGGACTGGGGGGTTTTAGACCCACATTCTTCTTTCTGGGACACAGCAAAAGGACAAGAGGCAACAGCATAACTTGCAGCAAGGGAAATTCTGCTTAGACATCAGGAAAAATGGCACATGTGCTCCCTCCAATTCAGGCGGTCCAGCAATTGCCAAAGGTACCCAGAGGGGCTGCAGAATCTCCACTCTTGGACATGTTCAGGACCCACTCGAACAAGGCCCTGAGCACCTCATCCAGGCAGAGGGTTGGACTGTGTGATCCAGAGGTCAAAATGGTAGTTGAAGGAAGGGCAGAGGAAGAGGTTATGTGCAGAGCTTCTCTTCCCCCAGTACTCCCTAAGCCTCTGCTTGCAGCTGAGTAGAGTCAGCCATCAAATCCATAACACATTTATCATCCTTTGGCGAGGGGTTCTACTGCTCAGCTACAGAACCACCCTCTCCTTTGCTCTGCTTATAACCTGCTCCCTGCCCATTTGTGTTAACATCCAGTTGTTGTAAAGAGAGAAAAATCAATGGCCAATTCCTGATTCCTATTCACCTGTCCGAGCTGATCATGATTTTATAGGCCCGTAACGTCTGTGTCCTTCCTCAGCTCTTTCCCAGGCTGAAGACTCCAACCAACCCTATTTAAGTGTTCTTCATACAGAGCTTTTCTACACCTCTGATCACCTTCACTGTCCCTCTCTGAGATGTTTCCAACTCTGTTGCATTGTTTTGGAGATAAGGGTGAAGGCTGGCACAGAACTGCAGTGTTCAAGATGCTGGTAAGACATGGACGTATATATATATAGAGAGAGAAAAACACAGTGATGATTTTGGGTATTTGTTCACCACAACCAATCATCAAGCCAACATTTCCATGGATTTATCTATGATCAACAGTCTTACACCAGAGAAGCTGATTAGTTCACGCTTCATTGTTTTATATGTAAATTTTGAATTATTTCTCTCCGCGAACACTGTTTTACATATGTCTATATTTAATTTAATCTGCTGTTCTATTGCCCACACATTCACTACCACAAGGTCCTTCTGCAATTATTCACAGTCAGCTCCCACCCTCTTATCCTGAATAACTTCCTACCATCAACCCATTTTCTCACCTCACCATTCAAGCTCCATTTCCAGGTCATTTGGGAATATACTGAACAGTGTGTATTTCAGGTTAGGATCATCCATGATCTGACCACTGATGGCTCCCCTTTGCTGTAAAACCTGGATGCTTATTCTCACCTTCCGTTTCCTATTTTCTACTAATTCTTTACCCAAGAAAAAAACATAATCATCTTTCTTATGCTGTGATTTTAGTTTTATTTAAAGATTTCAATGAGAAAATCTTGTTAAATATTTTTTTGGAAATCCAGGGAAACTGTATCAGACCTCCCTTATCCACAAGCTTGCTAAGTCCCTCAAAAACTCCAGTTTCACTACACAGGGTCTGCCTTTACAAAAGCAGATGCTGACTCTTTAATACCACAGTGGTTGCTTTCTGTTGTACTGTCTACTCTCTTGTCCAGATATCAACTTCAGCCTTCTGTGCTTCCCTCGTATTTGGGGGAATCTCATTTGGAGCCCTTTTTGAGAAGCAGCACTGCATTTGTCACTGCTAATTCTCAGCACTGAGATGACTTTAGAGAGGAGGTTTTGCTGTTCTGCACAAAACTGCATCGTAGTTCCGTTGTTAGTGCAGAGTGAGGGCCACCTGAGCTTGGGGAATGGGCAGATGGACCATCTTCCTGTGATGTGCCCAAGCCAAATGCTCTCTTGTCAGGCCACAGGACCCCAGGACAGCGCTGGACCATCGTGGCTGCCCAGACCCTTACCACAGAGTAAGGCTAGTGCAAATCCCATTTCCTTACACCACCACTGCAGTCCCACAGCAGAGCACCTATTTGAGCGTGAAGATTTTATGTCCCGCTGTTCCATAAAGGGCTATAAAGACTGTAGTGAATCAAGAAATAACCAGAATTAAAAATGTCAGCCACCCAACCTCTCTCTGTACAACAACATTCAGAGACACTGCAGTTGTGGGGCAGGCAGAGGAACTGCAGTGGAGTGGGCATCGCAAACCCTGCTCACTCTTTAGCAAAGTGAGAAGGAGCAACAGAACAGCAAGAGCAATCTAAAACCCTCTGAGCTCCAGGCCTCCCGCTGTCCTCTAGCTCCCATTAGAAAGTGGGGTTTTTTCCCCTCCGTGCCCAATTCCTACTGCCAGTACTTTTATTTTTCTCACCAACCACTCTTGTTTTCTTCACCTAACCAGCATTCACAGCACTCACCCGCAGGATGGCATCAGGATCCTGACTCACAGATCCACAATGATGGGCCACTGACAGCAGCTGGTAGAAGAAGCACCACAGCCCTTAACCAAGGGATCCTACTAAAGAAAATAAAGCAATATTGGAATTATCAAGACAGTATCATGAGATGGACTTGGGAAAGAGATCAAAGACCTTGACAGAGGTGGACTTGCATCCTCCTGACAGGGCTGAGTGCTCACAGCGGTGAACGTCTTGGCTC